CGGGACAACGGCGAGACACACCGAGAATCCAAGTCAGAGGGCAATCATTTACCCCGGTCCTGTGAAGAACACCAGTCAGGGCTTAGTGTTGTACAGGAAACAAAAAAAGAGACCACCAGCGGCGCCTCGGACACCTGGCCCGCGGGCCGCCAGCCGAGGACCGCTGATCCAGATCAAAGGATGTCCCCTTTCAGCTCAGCTAACTTGTTCTGACCGGGCTGACTTCTCTAAAATATCATCAGTTGTTAGGGTCAGGGTGAGGAACCCTGAGTGGAGAGGTGGGACACGGTTTCTCAGTGATCGAGATGTCAAATCTGTAGAGCGGCAAAAACATCACCACCCGCCTTCTGGCAGCAGGTGATGATGTGAGAGCACAGCTGGGGCAGATGGTGGTGAGAGACGAGGCTCTAACGGTGTGGGAGGACAAGCGACCGGGTCCGGTTTCCTCCTCTAAAGCAACACTAGCCGTAGACGCTCCGGACCCCTCCTCCTCCTCCTCCTCCCCCCCGGAGTGACCTCTCAGTGTTGTTCTGGTTACCAGAGGGAGAGTGTTTCTGGATCACCGGGCTAATTAATACGGTAAACATGGAGCTCCAGCTGCTCACTCAGCACCGCGCTGACGAGGCCGCCACAGCCCACTGCTGGGGCCCGTCTCCCTCAGCCACACTTCACTCTACAGATGGAGACATCCACGTCAGACCTGAACAAGTCACCTTGTGTGTGTGTGTGTGTGTGTGTGTGTGTGTGTGTGTGTGTGTGTGTGTGTGTGTGTGTGTGTGTGTGTGTGTGTGTGTGTGTGTGTGTGTGTGTGTTGAGGTAACCTGTCAAAAGACAGGCAGGTAACTGCATCATGAATCATGCCCTCAGGTCAGACCAATTAGTGTCAGCCACCAGCCTGCTGGTTCTGCCTCGCCCTGACTAGTTTTGGGAAAGATTTAATAACATTAATGGACAAGGTTGAGAAAGAATTAAATGCATTAAAGTGTTGGTTTAACTTAAATAAATTAACTTTAAATTTAAATAAAACAAAATTTATCATATTTACTAATAGAGCAATTACAGTGGATACAAATCTCAAAATAAATAATACAGAAATTGAAAGAGTGAATGAAATAAAATTTCTTGGCGTAACCATAGAAAAAGTTAAGTTGGAAACCGCATATTGACTCAATTAAAGCAAAGTTATCTAAATCATTAGCAGTTCTCTATAAAGTTAAAGAATTTTTAGATGAAAAAGCTTTATATCTTTTGTACTGTTCCTTATTTCTGCCTTATTTCATGTATTGTGTTGAAGTGTGGGGAAACACCTACGAAACCCACTTAAAGCCTTTGTTTATCATTCAGAAGAGAGCAATCTGACTTGTAAACAAGCAGCTTGTAGAGAGCATACACATTTACTTTTTACTTGTTTAAAAGCATTAAAGTTAAAAGAATTAGTTACATTAAGAACTGCACAGTTTATGTATAAAGTATTCAGGATCTGTTCCAGATCAGAGAGAGTGTTTATGATCTCAGAGGGTATAACATGTTCAGAAAGCCTAAAGTAAGAACTAAAATGAAACAACTTTGTGTTTCTTGTGTTGGGGTTGATGTGTGGAATAAATTAGACCAGGAGCAAAAAGATTGTTCAACAATGGTAAAGTTTAAGGGTTTGTTTAAATCAAATGTGATTAAATATTATGAATCAAGTCAATGAAAAAATGCATAAAACTTTAAAGGTCTTTATTTTGTTTTTATAAAGCTAGAATGGGGATTTCAATATATTCACCAAACATTTCAAACATGATGTAAAAATTATGGAATCGGTTTGCTATTCTAAAATTTTATTTAAGTTCAAAGGGTTTGGGGGGCTGGGCTTATAAGCTTATGCTTCTGCCTGCACCCATTCTTAGCATCGTGTAAGTTGTGTGTTTGCTTGTAAACCTGCAAATGTTTCTTTGTTATACTATTGTTGTACTATTGATTTTAATTTCTCATTAAACTTCAAACTTCAAAGACTAGTGACTTGCTGGAACGCCCTGACTAGTGACTTGCTGGAACGCCCTGACTAGTGACTTGCTGGAACGCCCTGACTGGTGACTTGCTGGAACGCCCTGACTAGTGACTTGCTGGAACGCCCTGACTAGTGACTTGCTGGAACGCCCTGACTAGTGACTTGCTGGAACGCCCTGACTAGTGACTTGCTGGAACGCCCTGACTGGTGACTTGCTGGAACGCCCTGACTGGTGACTTGCTGGAACACCCTGACTAGTGACTTGCTGGAACGCCCTGACTGGTGACTTGCTGGAACGCCCTGACTAGTGACTTACTGGAACGCCCTGACTGGTGACTTGCTGGAACGCCCTGACTGGTGACTTGCTGGAACGCCCTGACTGGTGACTTGCTGGAACGCCCTGACTGGTGACTTGCTGGAACGCCCTGACTGGTGACTTGCTGGAACGCCCTGACTAGTGACTTGCTGGAACGCCCTGACTAGTGACTTGCTGGAACGCCCTGACTAGTGACTTGCTGGAACGCCCTGACTAGTGACTTGCTGGAACGCCCTGACTGGTGACTTGCTGGAACGCCCTGACTGGTGACTTGCTGGAACGCCCTGACTGGTGACTTGCTGGAACGCCCTGACTGGTGACTTGCTGGAACGCCCTGACTAGTGACTTGCTGGAACGCCCTGACTAGTGACTTGCTGGAACGCCCTGACTGGTGACTTGCTGGAACGCCCTGACTAGTGACTTGCTGGAACGCCCTGACTAGTGACTTGCTGGAACGCCCTGACTAGTGACTTGCTGGAACGCCCTGACTGGTGACTTGCTGGAACGCCCTGACTGGTGACTTGCTGGAACACCCTGACTAGTGACTTGCTGGAACGCCCTGACTGGTGACTTGCTGGAACGCCCTGACTAGTGACTTACTGGAACGCCCTGACTGGTGACTTGCTGGAACGCCCTGACTGGTGACTTGCTGGAACGCCCTGACTGGTGACTTGCTGGAACGCCCTGACTGGTGACTTGCTGGAACGCCCTGACTGGTGACTTGCTGGAACGCCCTGACTAGTGACTTGCTGGAACGCCCTGACTAGTGACTTGCTGGAACGCCCTGACTAGTGACTTGCTGGAACGCCCTGACTAGTGACTTGCTGGAACGCCCTGACTGGTGACTTGCTGGAACGCCCTGACTGGTGACTTGCTGGAACGCCCTGACTGGTGACTTGCTGGAACGCCCTGACTGGTG